TTGACTTTTGGGGGGGCGGTAATAATCGAAAAGGGGGCGGTGTTTAGCGTTTCACTATTTTAAATATTAGTTTAATATGAACTCAAAATATCACTAACAACTAACAATACACCATTTTTCAAAATTAATTCTATTTAATCAAAATAATTCATTTTGAGCGGATTAGTTTGTAAACAAGCACGCCCTCAATGGCTAGACAATTATTCAAATAGCGATCACAACTCTCGAATAAAATATATTTTATAAAATGAATATATTTTATATTATAGCAAGCTACTTATCACGTCTAGCTCTGTAGGGATCAAGTAGGACATATTAACCGATTTTGCTTCACGTTATGTTTTTACACTTTTTTTTAAGTAAAATTTATCTCAAACTTAATTAGCTATTTATCTACTCATATGTGTTTAATTATCTTTCCAATAACATATCTTATATATTTATATCACATCAACTTTAATCTAAGTATTTAAATAATATTTTCATATAAACTGAAATCACCATTCATTGTTCCACCCGGTCAACTTCGTTTAAAATTTAAAATAACTAACTAATAAATCCAATAACCACTTAAGCTTGAAAGCAAACAATCAGGGTCCTTTACCTCGGAACAACTGAAGCTATGGCCCTCTGATTCGGACTTCGATCGCGTTGGATTCATGCTTTATGCTCCAATCCGCCAAACGTGCTCTTATTATTATTGACATCTCAGACCAACATTCTAACGACTCGTTGCACAATGTCTTTTCTGATATTATTGATCTTTTGAGGTTGTTGAATTGTGGAAACTTTAGTCATGTTAGTTGCGCGTCAATGATATAACTCATAATATAGCTATATGGGTTATTTGACCGACGGGATCCTTCTTGTAAAAGGATTGTCGTATTTTTTGATAGGGGTATCTTCGTAATATCAATAAAATTCGGTGGCAATAGGAAAGCCCGATTTAATTTCCAACGAATCGCGTTAACCCGCGCTACAGCGGAAAACAACTCACACACTATGCAACTCTACTGAAAAAAGAAAAGCTCTCGTTAGCTTTATATTTGCAGACGCTGTTATTAGGCAAATGCAACTATATATATAAAGCCAGAGCCTCTGTTCATCTCTTCAAATCAATCGGCAATGGCGAGACGAGAAGACCCAAATTTGTTTGAGGATGAACCCGAAGTTAATCCGTTTTCGGTAATTGATTTTAATT